AAGCCTTGCTTTGACTGATCATAGGTCTATTATTGGTCTATTTTCAGTCAAAGCATGCAAAATTCCCAGCCGTGCCCTCTTTGAAAAACTCCATCATGTTAAACTCGGCGGTGGACCTCCAAGGCTGGCGGGAGTGCGAGGAAGCCCCACGAAGGCCCCTCGCCCCCCAATGGTCCCAGCCACCGCCGCCAGCCTTGCGGCTCCACTGCTGAGCCCCATCAGGGGCCCATACATCCCCGGAGGTGTGTCCTAAGGCCACACCCCCTGACATCACCGGAAGTGTGTCATAAGGCCACACACCCGCCCCCCAATGGTCCCAGCCACCGCCGCCAGCCTTGCGGCTCCACTGCTGAGCCCCATCAGGGGCCCAGCGGTAGACCTGCAAGGCCAGCGGGAGTGCGAGGAAGCCTTGCCAAGGCCCTCCCTGGCCCCAGACAGGCAGGGGTGGGGAGAGGCGGGGAGGAAGCAACTTACCCTCCCTCTTCTCCTGCCTCCTCCTGGCTGAATGAGGCCGGAAACGGGGTGGCTGGAAGCAGGGGGCGGGGCTTTGTCATGTGCCCCGCCCCCCGCACCTCACCTGGGGGAACGGCGATCCCTGGGGGAACGGCGATCCTTCGCGATCCCCCCGAATTGACCTCTGCATTTATCATTCCTCTGGGTACTGAAGCTTTGATGCTGCTAGATAACTGGGACAACTTTGAGTGTGAAGGTTTGCTTTTTCTTGTTGGGAAGGCAGTTCTCTTCCTTCAGTATTTTCAAGCATTTGTTAACTCAGTCACTGCAGGAGAGAAAAAGACAAAGCTTCTGGATGAATTTCATTTGTGTTTCTTTTGATCTGAACTCTGTTTTATCATGCCTGAGTTGCTCAACTTTGATTTCTGTGTGGTGATCTTGAGTGCTGGTGGCCTTTCTAGCCTGATAAAGGCTTTCAGGATGATGGTTCTGGTTCTTTGCTTATGCTGTAACTTCTGTTTTTGTCATGTTGGTTGAATGTTTGCTTAGTGTTTAAATTCTGTGGAAGTCAGAAGTCAGACACACACCTGTCTTGGGCAATAAAGTGCTCCAGTCAGTCCAGTAAAATTGCACAAGTCTCCTGCACATAAGGAAAGTACATAAATTATAGAAGAATGAAAGAATATTCCACAGCTTCATTCTTTTTTCTATATACTGTATGCTTTATTCAATATATCCAGTATTCTAAATGGAATATCTATAAGCTACTTTTAACAGCCCAACTCAGCTAACTTTTGGGGGTGGGGGGTGGGGAAGAAAGGCTACCTGCTGCACAAGCATAAAATGGGATATCCCACTTTCAAGTAGACTTGGGCTCTATTATTTGACAGATGGCAATCAGGGCTTTTCAAACTGTTGTAATGGCTTAAATAAACCAAGATGCCTCTTCAGCTCATTCACCAATACATTTAGCAAGGTTTAGTTCCATAGTAGAAAAGAGTTTGTGACGCAACCACGTCGATCACGTTGGGGGCGTGGCCCCGATCGTCGGAGGGAAAACTCTATGGTTTTCCCTCCGACGATGGGGGCCACGCCCCCAACATGATTGACGTCGCGACTCTGGACCCTGGAAAGGGTTGGGATCCCTGCTGGAGGTTTTAAAGACAGTCAGGTTAGTCACCGCCTTGTCTTTGACTAAGGCAGGGCAGTGGCACTACAAATATAAATATGTTAAAACATTTTTGAGTCTAGACAGGCCATTTGTGATCATTGCTCTTGTCTTTTGGTTGTACTACTTTTGATGATGACTGTTTTCATACATAGTGGCAAAGATGTGTTGTAAGAGATTATTTTGAATGTTGATACTCTAGTAGTATGCTGCACTCTAGTGGTTGCCTGGGAGCATCTTCCTGGGAACTCTCTTCAGGAAATGGTTCAGATTGAATACTTTCTTAAACCAGATCACAGAAAATTTTATATAGAAAGTTTGTTATAAACCAGTTAAGAAAATGATCCACTACCATATACCAGTTAAGAAAATGATCCACTACTACTGAAGTTTAAAAATATTGTTCTGGTTTAAATTGGAAATATAGGTTGATTAATGCATACCAGTGTATCACAACAAATTATATTTAATTAATACACACTTTTCATAAATATACAAGAACCTGATGGATGGCAATTTATGTTTGGTATCATGTGGATCTTCCTCATAATGGATGACTGGAAGTTGCCTTGCGCAGGCCAGGGAAGGCATGGGGAGGCATTTCAATGCCTCCCCGATCCTTCCAGGCCCCCCCGGCCCCTCCGCCTCAGAGTCGCGGGGGGTTGCTCTGTAGCCACACATGCAGAGGTTTCGGCTGTAGTGGGCGTGGCCAACTCTGAAGCCAGCCGGAACTCCGTTCCTGTGCATTCCTGCCCCAAAATAGCCCTGGTCTCACCTATGCGCAGCCCCTCGAATCTGTAGTCCAAAGCTGAGACGAAGGCTGAGACTAACTCCTCCCTGGATGGGCAGAAGCCTTTATTTGGATGGCTCCACCCCTGGGGTGGGTCCCTACTTTCCTGCACTTTTTCTTCAGAGCTGCTGGGAAATGTAGGCAGGGAGGTATGGCAGCCCCATTGTCCCCTATGGAGCACCTCCCCCCTCCAGAAGGACTACCAGATTGGCAGCCATTTTAAGGTAAACTGCTGCCTCTGCCTGGCAGCCATTTCGTTACAGAGGCGTTTCATTTTCAAGAAATAACTTGAATATATGATGTTGTCTTATACTACAAGGTCATCGGTTCATCTAATCTAGAAGTTGGAACTGGCAGCAGCTTTCTAAATCTGTACTAGTTTTCCTGAGATTGTGTTTAAGTGGAAATGCCATGATTGACCGCAGGGCCTTATGCATGTAAAACGCATACTGTATCACTGAGTGCACACAATGAGATGCATGGTAGGTCCCCAACTGGCTGCATTTCCAGGCTAGTTGTTATTGCAACTCATATAGGTTGAAATAATAATAAATAAACCTCTAAAGCATGGTATAGGGATTAGCATTCATACACTTTGAAAAATGTATAAGTTGTTTATTTGCCTTCTGATTTGGGAAATTACCTCTCCACAGTTAGGGGCTGCTGGATTGATTAATATGCAGTTGAAGTTGGATGTGTATTTTCCATTTTTAAATATATATTTCAACACCACAACGCCATGTGGTTGAGAAAAAATTTCTTTACACCCATTGCTGGCCATTCTGGCTGTTTTCGCTGAGTCATACACTCACTATCATGATCAGTCTCCTTTAGGATTGCCAAGTTGCGGCGGGGGATCGTGTGTCTTTGCAGAATCCGTGCCACGGGGACGGTGAGATGCGTTGCACCCGCCGTCGCCAGGACATGATGCTATGCATCGCTCTGGCAACGGGGCTCCAAACAGCCCCGTTGCCAGAGCGACGCGTAGCGTCATGTCCTGGCGACAGCGGTGCAATGCATCTCGCCGTCCCCGCAGCACGGATTCTGCAAAGACATGTGTAGCGGGAAATCTGAGACAGACCACCAGAGAATCAGGAAGGAGAGTCAACAGCTGTTTTTATTATGCGCACAGGTACAGCCAAAGCACTCAGGGCACTTTTCAACAGAGCTGTACCCAGAATGCAGGTGGAACAGACACTTAAATAGATTTTCCACAGAGTACAAAAAAATCATTTTTCCTGGTCATTTCTTAGAATTAAAATTATCACAACACATTGACCATGAGCCTGAAGCATTGTGTTCCTTTTCAAAACCACAAACATTCTTTGGCTGATCACATGTCCCTTGTGGGAAAGCTAGAAGTTTCCTGTCATCAGCCAGGTGTGAATCTTTCTTGATAAAGGAAGTAAGCAAGAAGTATGCAATAACAACAAGCAAGCAAGGTCAGCACTTCCCTAGTAACAGCCTAGCAATGCTTAATATGGTCATGCAAGCTTGTTTCCGCAAAGCCTCTATTTCTTTCTCTTATTCTTTCTATTTGCAAAAGCTATGTTCCCTTAATGATTTGCAAAAGCAAATGCGTTCCCTTAATGGACTTTTAATGCAAGCAAATTGCAGGTAAATGCTTCACATGCAGATCCCCCGCCGCGATTTGGCGAAATTTGGGAGCCCTAGTCTCCTTGGTTGACCTGGTGAGGCTGCTATCATGAAGCACATTCAGGTTAAATTATACCTATCACCTCACATCTGCCCAAAAGTTTTACCAAAGCACTCTTTCAGCTCTCAAGTTCTTAAATTTTTCTACAGGGTTTGTGGCATATCATTAAAATTATTATTTTTAAAACATTAGATCACTTTGCTTTGTGTTGACAAAATCCCTATTCTTATCCATGCAGCTTTGAGTCCTGTGTTTTCCTTTTGAGATGTAATGCTTGTCTGTTAAATTTTAGGTTACACTTAAGGATAAAGTTGGAGTAATGGAAGCAAGTTTTCTTTCTCCTGAGATTCAAAGGTTGCAGGAACAGAACAATAACTTGCGGGCAGTGATTGCAGAAATGAGGAGAGAAATGGAGACCCTTAATAATGAAGAATTTTCTTCAGACCACATCAAAATTAAAACACAGGATAAAAATAGGACTGCTGATACTGCTGAAGTTTCATTCACTCCTGGTAATAAAGTGGGCTCGTTTAAGTTTACTGTCCAGCAACATTTATATGTCCATTTTACATTTCTTTTATAATACATGCATCTCTTCTTAATAGTTACAAGAATGATATTCAAACAATAGATGTTCTTTTTATAATAGTTTTACTTTAAAAATTATGTGTTTGTGAGTGTACACACACACACACACACACACATATATGCATAAGTGGGGACCCGCAAACAACTTGCCACCCCCTGGCTATCCCAAATCCTGGAGATTTGGGGATGGAGCCTTGCGAGGATGAGGTTTGAGCTTGGAAGTAACCTCAGCAGGGTACAATACCATAAACTCCACCCTTCAAAGCAGCCATTTTCTCCAGGGAAACTGATCTCTTTCACCTGGAGATCAGTTGTAATTGAAAATCAAAAGGGGAAAACACTGCAATAAGATGCTATTTAGTAAATTTTCTAATTAATTACGATAATATATAGGTTTATCATGTGTGCAATAAAGTAATATAAACTAATACAAAGAACAAAGTGAATCCAAAAGTGCAAGGAGTTAAGCAAAAATCAACAATTGGTATAAGTGCTCTTATTCATAGAAGAATCATCAACATCAGTCATCAATCAACATAAGTCATCACACAAGGATCCCGGGTATAAATTCACTCGTTTTGATAAACTTCTTCAGTGAGACGAACAGTTATTTTACAATAATGTAAAAGGTATTCTCCAAGTTGTATAATATACCATCAAAGGTGACATTCAATCCACTGAACGGCTATATTGTAGAATTTCTGTATGGGCACCATCAACATTTCAGTAAAGAATTCAATCAGAACTTTCTGCCATTGGTATAACCTCCTGAGGAGTGCAGAGTTTGGGGAGGGGAGAGACCTCAGCTGGATATAATGCCACAGAGTCCACCCATTTTCTCCAGGGGGACAGATTTCTGTTGCCTGGAGTTCAGTTGTAATTCTGGGGGATCCCCAGGTCCCATCTGAAGGCTGGTAATCTGAAGCCAAGCAGCACCCTCTTGGTGACTAGATACCACCTGACTTGCATGATTCAACTAGGCCTGGCTGCTTGCTACTGTTCAACAGCAGCCACCTTATGAAAGTCAGTGTACTATAATGGCCAGAGCTTCAAAGTAGGGTTTGTGAGACCCAGATATAGATCCCCATCTTGCTGTGGAAGCTCACTGGGTGATTTTGGACCAGTCACATATTTTTAGCCTAATCTACCTCATAGGGTTATTGTGTGGATAAAAAGGAGGAGAGAATAATGTAAACTGCTTTAGTCCCCACTGTGGAGAAAGACCATTGTTTTCCTCAGTAGAAGCTGCAGGGAGAAAGGAGATAGAAAGCTGAAGACAGAGGGGCAGATAAAGGTAGGTGGGCTGTTGGGTGGGAAGGAGATGCCAACTCCAGGTTGGGAAATTCCTGGATATTTGAGGGGTGGAGCCTAGGGATGGTGGGGATTGAGGCGGAGGGGGACTTCAGACAGATATAATGCCATAGACTCAACCCTCCAAAGCAGTCGTTTTCTCCAGTGGAACTATTGTTGCCAATCTCCAGGTGAGGGCTGGAGATCTCCTGGAATTTCAACTGCTCTCCAGATGGCAAAGATCAGTTCCCCTGGAGAAAATGGCTGCTTTGAAGGGTGGAGTTTATGGTATTATACCTTGCTGAGGTGACTTCCAAGCTCAAACCTCATCCTTGCAATGCTTCACCCCCAAATCTCAAGGAATTTCCCAATGTGGAGCTGGCAGCCCTAAGAGGAACTGATCTCTGTATTTGGGCAATCTCTTGTGATTCCTGGAGAGCTGCTGCTGCCACTGCTACTGTGGGGGGGAGGAAGTAGGTGGGAGGCCGGGAGAGTGATGGGGCAGAAAGAGTGATTGGGTGGAGGCATGGAGGGGAGAGAGAAAGAAAAGGGGTAGCAGGAAGGAGAAAGAGTGTGAGAGAAGTAGAGGGAGAGGGGAAGAAACAGAGGTGGGGGGAATGTGATAGCTGTTCCTGCGAGTTTCTTGCGGGTCCCCACTTGTATATATTTGTATCATTTATGTGTTTGAGTTTAAATTATGCAGATACTAGTTAGCCAATTGTTTTAATTCTGTACTGAAATGAAAAATACAGTGTACCTTTTAAAAATAATAGTTATGACTTCGTAGATTGTGGAATAATCTAGTTCAAAGCAGGATATCCAAAGCTTCAAATGAATCCCTAATAAATGACATTCAATTTTGTTCAGGCCCATAGGCAGGATGTTTTTATTTGGTGGGGCCTTTAAACAGTCTTCCCTCTAAGATGAGTTAGTGTGAGCTAGCTCACAATTTTTTAGCCTCTGGCTCACACATTTTTGTCTTAGCTCAGGAAGGATGGTTCCAGAGCAAACTAATGTATGCAGCACCCAAATCGCTTGCTCACAACTAATGCCAGTAGCTCACAAAGTAGAATTTCTGCTCACAAGACTCCACAGCTTAGAGGGAACATTGCCTTTAAATAAGTTGGGGGGGCATCACTACACACTCCTCTGCACACACACCCAAGCCTAGGAGCACCCCATAGAAGCCCCCGATCTCTCATGCAGGCTGCCAAGGGAGAGGCATAGCGAAGGGTTGAGCCCCCCTCACCACACAGTCTGAAATGGAACTCCGAGTGCCACGAAGGGAAGGAAGAGCAGTGTGTCCCCCTGACTACCCTCCCTGGAGCCCGACTGCACAGCATCCCCATCCCCTTCTCTGCACCAGCCTCACACAGACTCAACCTGCTGGAGTTCCCAGCTGCCTGCCTGGCCTCACCTGGGGCTGTGTGTGCAGCAGCAACAGCAGCATAACAACCCAGCTCTGTGTGTCTAGCCTCATTGCCTTGCCCCCTGCCCAGGGAGGGCAGCCAGCGCTGGCTGCCTGGCCAGCCACTTGCTTGGCCTGGTGAGCCAGCCTTGGGCCTCGCTGCAGCTGAGTGGCGGGTGGGGAGAGCTGGAGCAGGCACAGGCGCATCCCCCCTGCCAGCACCCTTTTAGCCGGCACTCCCACTGTTAATAGCGGGGGCTGTGAGCACCTTGGTGGTGGCGGCGGTGCTCTCCACCCAGCTTGGCAAAAGTTGGAGGCCTGCGTGTTAAGTCGGGGGCCTCAGCCCCAAGCAGTGTTCCCTCTAAGCTGGGTTAGTGTGAGCCAGCTCACAGTTTTTTATCCTCTAGCTCACACATTTTTGCCTTAGCTCAGGAAAATATAGAAACAGGACAGATAGAGGATGGCATCACATGGATACTCCTGAAAACAGCACCACTGTAGGGAAGTCATGGCAGAGGAAACAGCTATGTGGAAAGAGCTGTATTCTGGTAATCGAACATATTTTGTACAACAATACATTATGGAGAAAATTATTTGCACAGATGATCAGCCTTTCAAAGCCACCATTACTTGTACAACATAATCAGACTGATAGATGTGTTTATTTTTTTAGATTATGTTCTGTCTTTGGAGGAAGAAATCAGAAAACTGAAGAATAAATGCTGGGCATTGAACAAGCAACTTGAAAATACATCGGAAATTCCTAGTAAATTCTTTGCAACTTCTTTGAATGCATCCCATTGTAATAAAAATACTCAAATTTCCTGTAAAGACCACATTTCCAAAAGAAACAGTGGTAAGAAACACGACCTCAAGTTCATTTAAAGCATGATAACTTTACTACAAGGAGAGCACTTTTATGAGGAGGTGGAGGGACTTTATCTCATGATCACAATCTCAGCTGATGGGCAGGCTAATATGGGGAGAAAGTGGGAGTTCAGATATCTCTACCTCCTGAATTTATTGCTTGACCTTTACAAAAGGGCAGCCATGTTAGTCGGTTTTAGCAAAATAAAATTATCACTTTGTTTCTATACATTCAAGAGCCTGTTGTTCACCAAGAAAAGCCCTCCCTGGCCCCAGGCAGGCAGGGGTGGGGAGAGGCAGGGAGGAAGCAATTTACCCTCCCTCTTCTCCTGCCTCCTCCTGACTGAATGAGAGCCGGAAGCAGGGGGCGGGGCTTCGTCATGTGCCCCGCCCCCCGTACCTCACCCGGGGAAACTGCGATCCCCCGCGATCCCCCCCGAAATGACCTCTGCTTCTGTTGATACAGCCCAAAATTGCATTTGCCTTTTCAGCAACTGCATCACACTGCTGACTCAATGTATGGTCTACTAAGACCCCTAGATCCTTTTTGCATGTCTCCCCCAACTATATAAATGCATGACTGTAGCATTTAAGCAGGCTTGTAAGGGAATAGGTGGTCCTTCAGGTATGCCGGTCCCAAGCCTTTAAAGGTCAACACCAGCACCTTGAATTGTGCCCAGAAACAGATTGGGAGCTAGTGTAGATGGACCAAGAGTGGAGTGATATGGTCCTTATGACCAGATTGTCAACAATCCAGCTGCAGCATTTTGCACCAGTTGAAGGTTCTGAACAAATTTTGCACTAATGGAATTGACGTTTTGCACCAATTGAAATTTTCAAGGGCAGCCCCATGCAAAGTGCATTGTAATTAATCAAGTGTAGCCATGGCATGCACCACAGAGGTCAGTTCCCTTCTGCCCAGGGAAGGCCACTGTCAGACTCTTGAACAAACTCACTCCCAACAACACTCTCTTGTAGTGATTTGTTTATTGAGATATGAAAATGTGTCAAGCTAAGCTCGTCTATGTCAGAACTGACAAGCTTGGCGCCAGTCCGGATATTATACCTAATTCAAACAATGACCCATCCAATCAAACTATCCATTCAGTCTGCCTAAATCAAGCATGCACTTCTTCCCCCCCCACACACACCTGCAAACCTACAGTTTCATTATGACAGGCTAGCTAGCAGAGACAGGCATCCAAGATCATTCACATTCTTCCCTGTCAGCAGGCCTCTTGAGAAAGTAGTCACAAAGCAGCTAAACAAAGCGATTCCCACATACAATCAGCATCTGCCCCCTCCCCCAAGGCCCCAATACATGATGATTACAGGTAGGGAAAAGAGAACAACAGAAATACATGGCAAACGAGAACCCGAATTTGACATTCTGCCCCCCTATCCCTTCACCCCCGGGGCTTCTTTTTTAAAAAAGTTTATTTTGATATATTATGGGAAAGGAAATATAAGGGTGGGAAGGGTACAAGGTGTGAGATATGACATAAAGGAAAATTTTATCAAATTTGTATCACAGCTGTTACATCTTTTCAGTCTTAATTTGTTTCCAGTTCTGTTTCTTTGTATAATTACTAAGATTAGTATCACATAATCGCTGACATATTCTGTTATGTTTCCTGGTAAGAGTCTAATTCTCTATAGTTCAAGTTGGAGTTTCTCCAAATTTATATTATGTATATTCATTATTTTTGGTCTTCAAGGTTTCTTTCCACCCAGTCATAAAATAATGTCCAGCTATTTTTTACATCTCATTTACTTCTGTCCTTCAATAGGTTTGACAATATATCCATTTCTGCTATTCCAAAAGTTTTTGTCAAAAGTTCCATTTCTGTTGGTATCTCTGCTTTCTTCCAGTTCTTAGCATATAGAATTCCTGCTTTTTTTTTGCTGCTGTAACTGCATGGATAATTAGATATTTTACTTTCTTATCTTTTACATTGGGCATAATATTAAGCAAGAACATTTCAGGTTTAAATGGTAGAGGTAACAAACATATTTTCTGTAACATTTCATGGACCCTTCTTCAATATAATATTGCCTCTTTACATTTCCACCAAACATGGAAATAACTTCCCACCCTTATCTTACATTTCCAGCATTTATCAGACTTTGGAGGATACATTCTAGCTAATTTCTCTGGTGTTATATGCAACCTATAGAACATTTTATATAAATTCTCTTTGAAGGCAACTGATTTTGTTATTTTAACATTTGTTTTCCATATTTGCAACCATTGAGCAAGATCAATATTATAACCAACATTTTGGGCTCATTTTACCATACAGTCTTTAATCACCTCATCCTCCATCTTTGTCTGTAACAAATAGATATAAAATTTCTTAATCAATTTATCATTTGTTTCATTTTAAAGTATGTCGAACTCTGATTGTTCTACAACAAACCCTTGAGGTTTGTCTTTAGCATATCTAGATTCAAGTTGCACTCTTGTCCATCAGTCCACATATATATTTTGTTCCTCTAGTTCTTCTTTGGGCTTCAACCTATCTTCTTTTCCTAATAAATCTTTGTATCTAAATATTTTGTTCTTCTCCGATAAACTAGGTTGCGTAAATGCTTCCACTGGAGAGACCAATTTCAGGATCTTCGCATATATTTTATGCCTAATTCTTTCCCATGTGAACAGTAATGCTTTCCTCACCAAATGATTTCTGAAGTATTTATAATTATCTGCCTTTTGATACCAGAGATAGGCATGCCATCCTAGCTTTAAATCATGTCCCTCCAATTTTAACAGTCTCGTATTTTCAATTCTTATCCACTCTTTAATCCATGTCAGTGCACAAGCATTGTAATATGTTCCCCGGTCAGGAAGACCAAAACCTGCATTTTGTTTAAAGTTCTGCAGTGCCTTCAATTTTATTCTAGGTTTCTTCCCTTGCCATATAAATTTTGTTGTTATTTTATTCAGTTCCTGGAAATATGATTGTTTCAAAAGTATTGGGATAGTTTGGAAAAGAAAAATAGGTTTAGGAAGCATATAAATGACAGCTGTAAATTATTCCATTTATCTAAATCTTTTCGGATTTCTTTAAGTAGTTTCATATAATTATCTTCCATCAGAGAGCTACATTTATTTGTCAAGGTAATACCTAAATATTTGACTGTATGCTCTAATTGAAATCCTGTTTTCTCTACCAGTTCTTTTGTTATAGCTTGTGTTATGTTCTTTGTAATAATCTTTGTCTTTTGTTTATTCACTTTCATTCCTGCCATCTCTCCGAATTCCTTGAAATTCTTCGTCAAGTTGTCTATAGAAGTGCTGGGATCTAGCTAGCAGAGACAGGCGTCCAAGGTCATTCGCATTCTTCCCAGTTGGGAGGTCTCTTGAGAAAGTAGTCACAAAGCAGCTAAGTGAAGCGATTCCCACACACTCACCCACACTCAGCATCTTCCCCCCCCCCAGACCCCAATAGGGAAAAGAGAACAACAGAAATACATGGCAAACGAGAACCCGAATTTGACATTCTGCCCCCCTCCTGGCCACACCTGTAGTCCTGGGTCTAAGAGTATCCTCAGACTACAAACCTGTTCCTTCAAGGGGAGAGCAGCCCCATCCAAATATGGTTACATTAAGTTAATTTTTAACCCAAACCTTTTACAGTGACGGACCTATATTTTAACGATCCTGTTTTGAGCAGATAACAGAGTATTAAGAAGAATACAAAACACTAGCATGCAGTGATGTGTCTCCTTTTTTTGCTCCTTTCCTTTCCAGATGAAATTACTGGAGCTTCTTTGAAAAAGCATGAAGCCAAAGCTCCACATGTGGATTTAACAGGAACACAAGTGGTAGGGAAACTCTGAGATACTTATGGGTATATAAGTAAATTCAACAATATAACACTTATAAAGGCCAATGAATGTTTGAGAACAGGAAGTTGTATACTACCAGCCTTTCATCTGCCCTGATTATCTCCCGCACTGCAATTCCCTTGTGGATCCCATACAGGCCTGTAGCTACCACGGGGCCCATGGGGCCTGCCCCCCCGTGGTTTTTATGGGCCCCTCCCCCAATCCTCAGCTTCACCTCCCTCCCTCCAGTCCCCTCACCCCCAATTGATCGCTGCCGCCGCCCCCTCCTCCCCAGCCTTAGATGGAGCCGGCCTGCCCGCCTGCCTTGGCCAGCAAGGGAGCGGTACAAGCCTGCTGGCCTCCTTTGATAGAAATCACTGCAAAGGGGGACTTTTTCGGCAGTACAGAAAATCTGGGCAAAAAGAGCTTTGCTTTCAACTCAACCGTTACCATAACTTGCCTTAGAAACAGAACTGGATTAGTTAATGAGCATTGATTTAATTTGGATTACCTTGATATTTTTATTGCTTGTTAGATTTATATCACATGGTACTCTTATCTCATGGTCTATAGGGTGGCACACAGAGAAATGATTAATTAAGATAATCCAATAACAAAATAACTACCACAAGCAGTGACTCACCACTACCTACAGTGTCTAACATCAAGGAACCATATACATGTATGTATATGTATATGATGCACTTATCCTTCTTTCTGTCCATCCACATACCCACCCATCCAGGAATGCTAAGGAATAAATGTGACTCCTGATGCTATTAACTTCAGCAATGCCTTGCTTCTCCACCACCACCCCGCCGCGTATGAGACGAAGGGGCTCACGGCGATGCTGAACTGTCTTGGATCTTTGAGATCCAAGCCACTTCAGCAGCACCTTGCTTCTTCTCCCCCCAATACTAAAATACATTAAAATGCAGAGGATTTATTATTTATTTATTATTTAGACGTATGAGCATGGCATGGCAGTACCGCACAGACATATAATGGCAGGCCCCCTGAGAAAAACATTGGCCCCCTGAGCAAAAAGTTGTTAGCTATGGGGCTGATCACATAATCTCTAGGTTAGCCTTTTTTTGGTGGTTAGAAGATGTCCCTCTTCCTCCTTTTACTAGATGTAAAGATGGTAGGGTACAACTCTAGTCAGTACTTTTATTGGCATAGGTTATAAGTATAAATACAACTCAAGATTTTGTTGTGTTTAGAAATTAAGCCTGTATATTTTTTCAGACTTAATTTTCTGTAAATTGTAATTGACATATTTGCTTTTTAAAAAAAAATTAAAAGCCATACTGGGTACCTCTGCTATCCTGATCTGCAGCATAGGCATTAGAATTAATCTCTACCCTTGGATTTCCACTAGGGGGCATTGTGACTCTATCTGTCTGGCTGTGTGTGAGCTAAAGACACGTTATTCCACTCTAATCGAATAGGATGACCTAGAAGTACAAAAACCTTGGTTTAATTAAATTGGGCTGTTACCACCAATGGCCTGCCTTATTGTTTGGGGAAATTAGTTAGGCAGCAGGCAAGGCCAGAGGAGTACAAGGGATCTGTACACCTGTCTACACCAAGTTCCAGTACAGTCGGAAGACTCCAAATTTGAAGAGCAAATTAAATAGTTTTTATTGAAGTATTTCTCTAATTACAAGCACACTAAACATTCAAAAAGAGCAAGCAATACAGAACTAAGAAAGCAGAGGTGATTGATAGTGAATAGAGGGGTCAGTTACGGGGTGATACAACTTGTCCAGACGTGCCGGGGTCCATGGAGATGAGATTATGGCCCAAACCAAAGGTTTAGGGGGTGAACTGCCAGTTAGCATCAGGGGCAGACACACAAAATCTGAGGCCATGTGCTCTGATAGATATACACATTGGAAAACAAAGCAGGCCAGTGGGAAGCCTTAGGGGCTGGTCTCAGGTGAGAACAATAGATTTTCTAGACCAATAAGGAGTCCATGCAGGTGTGGTACCAGGCGGAGCATAATTCAGGTGTGACCAATGAGCTTCCAGGGGGGCAGAGTCTAGCTGCATAATAACTCTTGATGGGAGTACCAGTGGCATCTGAATAGATATAATGACCCTTGATGGTCCAGTCTAGGTGAGTTGAATAGGTTCCCAGATTTAAACAAAAGGTGTAAATAGGTCCCTGATTAGTGTCAGGAAGGATTGCTAAATATCTGAATGTATGATTGGTTTATCTTGGGATGGAGTAGGAAAGAGCGCTTTGGAGACAAAGGATTCTCACATAGACATAGGGTCACACAAAAAGGGCTAGGTGAAGTTCTGAAGATAGAGGGGCTATGCATCAGGTGGCCTCTGAATAGCTTTAGAAATGCAGATACTACACCTGGAGGAACCTGCCTTTGTTGTTGCTGCTGGAGGAGGGGAGGTTGAATATTGCCTTGGAGGGCTGCCTTGTATGAATACCTGAATATGAAATCCCCTTTTTGCAGAGTGTTCACACGCTGACTCTGAGGTTCAAGCTGAGAGGGCTTGACTTTTGGGGGACTTTGTTTCAGGTCAATAGTGGGGTGCCCCTGCTGTTAGGGCTATCCATGCATAAGGCAGCACCTCTGGGCTACAGGGCTTGGCTACAAAAGAGATCTTGAACACTGTTAAAATACATCAGCAGCATATATCGGTATCATATGAAAGGGGATTAGCTAAATTTGCAGCTATGCAAGGTAAGAGGAAAATGTAAGATTTATATCTAGCTTCACTACAATTCCAGATCAGTATTTTTCACATTGGACATTTCTAGTAAAATATTCTTGTTCAGAGTGGCTGGTTTCATTTAAATGCCACTAAATACAAAAAAATGTTTCAAATTTGAACAGTCACAAGTTAACCTTGACTACCAAAAGCCATCTCAGTGAAGGCCTTGCATCACTTCTCTGCATCTTCTTAGTGTGCAAAGCTGGTGAACTTGAACAGTTATTGTGATCTCCCACTCTCAGCAGATGTAGGAGTTCACTGTGTAGGCCACCAGCCACAAGTTGTTTTGGATTTCTTAGGTTAGAGTCAGACCCTTGTATTTTGTGCGTGAAAGGCAATGACAGACCATCACTAAAGCTTGAAATAGTGTTGTAATGGGCTTCCAAGTAATCTATCCCAACCAAGGGATATTCTGCACCAGTAGAGCTTTTGAGCACTCTCCAAGGGCTGCACCATGTTCAGCTTATTTTAGAGGACAGCCATGTTGGTCTGCATTAGAACAGCTAGATTCAAGTCCAGTAGCACCTTCAAGATCAACAAGATTTTTGGGGTCTAAGCTTTTGATGTGCATCTTATTATACTAGCATAACTTTAAGGCTATGGGTGCTTGATTTGAATCCAGGTATCTTTTCATTTAACTTTTTCTTTTATTGTCTTGGCACAAATAATGCTGAATTTCCTGTGCTCACATGATTACTACACTTGGGATTTTATACCCAGGTTATTTTAAATCATATTAACTCAACATACCTGCAAGTTGGGTATTTCAGGACTATACATATTGTAGCCCAGAGGTGCTGCCTGAACCCTAGGGTAGCCCCAACAACAGTGACACCCCACTTTCTTTCTTTCTTTTATTTCCCTCTCCTAAAAAGGAGAGAAGTTTTACTTTTACAATTCAGAAAATTAGGAAAGGTATATAGAGGAGTAAAGAAAAGTGTTGAGTGATGTTAATGTATTAGTATATTAATCTTTTAGTATTAAAGTTAAAGTCAATAGCTTCTTCTGCAGTTGGATAATCTTCTTTTCTTCTCTCTCTGTTAAAACAAGCAATTAATATGTTAGTAGTGTCCTTTTGGGATTAATATTACTTTTAAAGTATTATCCGAAAAAGTCTTTAGACTTTGGGGTCTTTCCCTTTTTTGTCTCTTAAGTTATATTTTGGACCGGTCGCTCCTTTAGCTTCCTCGTCCTTCACCTCTCCCTCCGAGCTGCTGTCTTCCTCGCTAGTTCCCGACATCCACTTGGCAAGTTCTGCCTCTTCTTCTGTACTGGCGTGCCTCTTCAAAAAGTCTTGAGCCTTGAAGATAGAGTCTATCTTTTCTCTTCTGTCTTTAAACTTAAAGACCAATCCTTCGGGCACCAACCATCTGTAACTGATTTGATGACTTTGTAAGAACATGGTCAATCCTTTATAGTCCTTTCTTTTCATTCTGATTTCAAAAGGAACATCTTTCAAAATCCTGAT